GTCTCAAACTCCTCAGCTCAAGCAGTCCACCCGCTTCCACCTCCCAGAGTGCTAAGATTACAGGCATGAGCCATCACACCTGGTCATTGCTGACATTTTTGTATTTCTTTGCTGTGGAAGAAGAACAGTTTTTGGTGCATTGTAGGATGTTGGTAGCATCCTTATACCATAGTGGTTCTTAGCCTGTGGGTCACGACCCCTTTGTAACACTGAAAATACATCATGGCATTAGGAAAGTTGAGAACCACTGTTCTACCAGATGATAATAATTATCCACCCCACCTGACTCCTATCTCTAGTTTTGACAATCAAAAATTTCTTCAGACATCTCTTCCATTGCCAAGTGTCCCTTGGAGGGAGTGTCAGAGTCTCCTCTAGTTGAGATCCATTGGTTTACATGAATTGGTAGCTCTACTAATTACATGTAAATGACTTAATGTCAGTTTAACAAATACAAATTCTTATAAAAGAACCTCTTTCAGTCCAATTTAGCATAGGTATCTTAATCCTAGCAAAAGAAGACTGTGTGACAGAATAACTTTTCAGGTCTTTGAATAGATAGCATTTTTGTTGAAAAGCATCACTGAATACGGAAGAAATCATATGATTCCCAACCACATAATGGCTAATTCTTTTATTGCAGTGGTAAGGTGAAAGGAAAGGAAGAATGTGCTTACCTTGATGCTGATTATATTTCAACAGCTAGATGCTACACAGACAGAAAATGGATTTGCAGGAAGACAATGTACTAACTTGGTGATGGAAGAAGTGGAAAAGAATGCAGATTACATCTAATTGGCCTTTCACAATTAGATGTACCCAGGGCTACTGAGTAGTGGTAACATAAGCTGAAGCCATGAGAAATTGCCCAGGCATCCTCAGTTCAGCTGGGAAGCTGACAGACTTCCTCCCGCTGTAGGCCTCCACCTTTGGGGACAGGGTGCCCTCCAGTGGTCACCCTTACATTCTGGATAAAGGCCTTCTGTCTTGCCCAGCAGGTGGTGCTGCCTGCGGCAATCTTTCTTAAAGTGGTCAGTTTGACTGTAGCAGGAAATCAAGGCAGACAGAAGACTCCAGGCACCAGCTGATTAGCAGAAGTGGGTTTATTCGGCAGGGGGTACGCGGAACACCAGCGTGTTTCCCAAAACTGAGCCCCCCGCGACTCAATCTCTTGCCTCTCTTTATCCACTTTTCAGGGCAGGTGAGGGTCATAAAACAGAGAGAGACATGACATCCTCCTCAAGGCCCCGGGCTCAAGGGGGAAGGTCAGATTCACCTGCGTCTTTGAGACGGGTCGGGCTGCCTGCCCTCAAAGGCAATGGAAGCCCAAAGAAGTTGCTAGATTACAATCTAGTCCTGCGTATGTCAGGGGAGAAACACAGACAGCAGAAACACCTGCAGCTTGGCTGAGGCCTACACAGAGCGGCTAGGATAGATTCTTATAGTTCTGCTTTTACTTTCTTGCCTCATGACAACATTGAAGGCTCTTGTTCTTAGCTCTTTTGGCTTCCTTCTGTCCTTGAATGATGCCTGCCTTATTGGAGAGCTATTCCTAGAGCTGACATCCTTTTTTTGTCTCTCTTTTTAATTTGCCTCCTGATCTTGATTATAAAGATCATTGTGGTGGTTTTAAGGAGGTTTTCCAGATTATGGTCAGGGCCTAGAGCCAATTTTTGAAGTTTCCTCCTAATGCCTGGGACTGCTTGAATGATAAATTTAACCTTTAAGATAGTTTGGCCCTCTGAGGAGTCAGGTCTCAACTAAGTGTTTTCTTATCACTTTCTTAAGCTGCTCAAGAAAGGCTAAGGGACTTTTATTCTGTTCCTGTTAAATGGTAGCCAACTTAGAATAGCTCATAGGCTTTTCCCTGGATTGGCATAAACCTTCCAAGATACATGTTAGAAAATGTTTATGCCACCAGTTGCCTTATTTCTCAGGGTCCCATTCGGGATCCTGAAAGGAAATTGCCTGTCTTCCCGTGGGGTATCTGTCCTTTTCTTCGGAAGACATACTGCTATCAGTATTGGATATGAGCCACAAATCATCCCACTTTCTACTTTCACCTAAAATTCTATGCTTCTCATATAAAGTTAAAGTTTGATCTAGCAATACCATCACATCTTTCCAAGGTCAAAACTCTGTACCAATCCTTGTGAGAGAGGATACCGGAAAAGGGTGACGTTTAAGAGAACCGGTTTTCTCAAGGAAACCACAAGGGTACACCTGCAGGGTCCTCTCCATGGTGACTCAGCTTTTATGAATTTATAGACTTAACTTTCTGGAACTTGGAAATTTCCACTTCTGTGAAATCCTGTTGTTCTGGGGGGCCTGGAAGAGCATCTCCCACTTGATTCAAACTGCCATTTGGAATTGTCTATGCTGTAAATTCCCAGCTGGTGAATAAAACTCTTCCTCTAATAAGCTTGGTGTTTGGATGTTCTTTCTCTCCATTGAGCCTTATCTTCCTGCAACATTTTTGGTTCCTTGACCGGGAAGCAAGACCAACCAAAGAGATAACAGGCTCAGATGCACCTAGTAGTTGCTGCCAATCCTCTGAACACCCATGTGGGGGACCCTTGATCAGCCTGGGAAATGTGAACCACTGAGCACGCCAGGGAGGCAGCTTGGCCTCCCTGTGTGGATGCCTTGACTGGGCAGAGAAAGGACCCTCTTGGCAGGTCTTCAAGGAGTCAAACTGGGAGGAACTGGCATGCAGGAACTGGTACCTGCACAGGGAGACATCTAAAGCAAGGTATGACCAATTTGCGGTTCCCACCATTTGGGTGGAAGCAGGTGTCTGATCAACCTCTGGGGTGTTAGATTAAGGGCAGGTATGTTGAGAGGTGTATGGAGTGTGTGGATATGGTGTGACTTGGTTGAACTCCAAGGGTGGAGTCAAATCTCCCCTCACAGGGCCTAGGGGAGTATTGATTCACCTCCCATGGCTAAGTGGCAGCTTGAGTGGGAAATTGAGGCTGCCTAGGTTAAGAAATAAGTTGGAATTGTGTGCCTGTGAATACTTGGAGGCTGACTGAGACAGGTAACAATAGGTGGGGTTTCACACCCCCCACCTTCACAAGGCAAAATGAGGGTGTGAGTGGCCCTTTCTTCCCTGCTCCAACTTTGCCTCCTGGCTCTTCTGAGAGAAACTGGATGTTCCAGGTTTTCTGCTTTCTGTGTCAGACATAAGTCTTGTCCTTGGCAGCCAGGTGGCCATGTGAGACTTAGGGGGAAAATGAAGAGACATCAGAAAGGAAGACTGTGTTATGGTTTTGTTACTGGAATTTTGTGAATGAGTCCTACGTCTTGGGGATTCAAGAATTTGGCCCATGGGCCACACATCAGTGATAAAATGGGATTTTCTTGGATGGAGGGGTATACAGAGGGGGTGGAGAGCACCAGATCTACTGGCGTGGTGGAGAAAGGTTCCATGTGAACAGCAGTTGAACATGGGTCAGTTGGTCCTGAGAGATGGGCGAGTGCTGTTCTGAAGGGACAGGCAGTGGCCTCTGTTGCCCTCAGCCAATTGAAAGGGAGTCAGGTTCAGATCCCTGGAGTGGTGGAGATGGGCGCTATGAGGCATCTGATGCAGTAATGTGACTGATCCCAGGGAAGCCATCAGCAGTCCTGAGGAGAGTTCTCTTTTTGTATGAAGGGTAGGGCGCCCTGGAAGGGGTTTGCTCCAAGTGAGATGCTGTGCCTTGGAAAGCACTTAGGCTCTGGCACTCTGGTGAGCTCTGGATGACCCTTGGAAATCTGGGGGAGAGGGTATTTACACACCTTTACAAACTGAATGCATGTTTTAACAAGTAAATGAATGCAGTCTCTCACCTTGGGCAAGGTTGTTAGGTCTTTATATTTTTTGTTAGGGAGGGGATTAGGGTGTATGCTCCCTACTCAGGGTGGAGCCATCCAAAACATTTTGGGCTGCTTTGTTCATGACCTTCCTCAGAGGGTATGGCCTAGAGGGTGCAGCCTGTTTGTGCCTAGAGATGGAAGTCTGATTTCTGAGCTCACCTGAGCCTGAAAAATGGGGGTTCCCTGTCTAGCCCTGAGTGAGAAAATCCTGCATTAATGTTACATTTCATAAAATGTCTCTCATTTGTAAAATGTAATAATTTGGTTGTTTAAATTGTGGGGAAACTGAGTCTTTGTCAAAAAATACGATTCTTGCCTTTTAAACCTTCTAATTATCAGGTTAGCCAAGTGAATAATTAACTTGATAGTAAACTATGATCCTATTTTGTGAAAAGTTGGTTTTTGAGAGTAAGAGAAATTATACAGAAAGAAAAATAACATTGTGTAAGAAAAGAATCTTGTGTAGTAAACTTTGTCCTAAAACAGAATGATTATTTAAGAAAGTGAAAAACAGGACAAAAGTTAAAGTTTAGGCTCGGCGCCTATAGCTCAACCGGCTAAGGCACCAGCCACATACACCTAAGGTGGCGGGTTCGAATCC